AAATGGCGTGGATAAAATGCAAGGCTGGCAGACTGGTCCCATTTATCAGTTATGCTAGGAAATGATGGTAATCTACTTCAAATTCTAAAGAGGATGTTCCAAATGTGCATAAATGAGTGAAATTAGACATACTGTTCCCCTCTGTGCAAGGACTGCCCCAAATTGTTCCATTGACCATGCAATGGCCGTCTTCAATCGTCAAGTTGCCCACTGATTCTTTGTTAGAAACACGCACCGTCTAAACGAAATCGTAGTGTAGGTAAGCACTTTCCCTTCAATCTCTGTTTATATTAGCCAAAGTACTCCGTTGCAATCCGAAGGTATATTCCGATAAGTAAATTATTCTACTAGACATAGTTTCTCTTAATTCCATTTTAAAAAATACATATAAGCTTCACCGACTTAGTGAACTTACCCACCGGTCGTGGAACAAAAAACTCATCGTGTTCGATCGTCCTGATGGCGTTCCAACGACCCGAGAGCCCCACAGCTCTGGACTGTGTTCGCCTCAATGAAAAGTATGTCTTGTTACTCCTGCCCCATATTAACAATACATTAACGAAGGAATGCAAAAATTGATGGAGAACAACTGAAAACAACAAATAATGGGGAGGTGCAAGTGAGGGGGTGGATACATACCCGTGCAGTATGGCACACACAGCACAACCGCTATTATCTTCAACATTATCTCTCTCTGTGTCTTGGCAGATGTCTACTGTGCATTTATACTAGTCTCCTTTCCATCTGGCAAATTTCGTTGGAGCCCTTCTCACGCTCCATTTGACACAAATGTGATGCCGCTTTCTTGCACACACAGGTCAGAACTGCAAAGAAAATTTAGCTCCATTGAGCGTTGTTATTATTGCGGAGCAAATTGGACTTGGCACATCATATCAGTGGTTTGGAAAGTGCAATGCCAAAGATGCAGCACATGGTGGAATGAATTGATGATTGGAAGAAGCTCTTTTGAATCAGTTGCTTCACTAAGCGCTTTGGTATTTGCCAACGCAGCTTGGTCTTCACTGCGCAGCCTTGTACTGTCTACGTCTATCCTACCTCAATTCATCTATTCGCCTTGAGAATTTTAATCATTAAGATAACCGCTTCAACAAAATATATGACAAAAGATGGCATTTGGTGATGAGGTGGCACATTTTACTCAACTACGAGAGGCAGGTTTGTTCCTTCCAATTAACCATATTCATTCCTTCTAACCCACCCACCTACCCACCTCCACGTCCATTTGCCAACGCAGCTAATCTCTCAATGACAAATGTAACTCCTTTAGTCACCTTCGCAGTTATACCAACTGCTTTTGCATGTGCAAGACAACTGACTTGAATGACTTAGGAAGATGCTAGTTCATGGCATACAGAATGTGTTCAAACACACTTGGGAGCTGCATTTAGATTTTACTAGCATCAAATTTACTCGCCAAGACATCATGGCACACTGACCCCATTTCATTGTACACCCACGTCTGCACCAGGCTTGGCCTCCAATGCTATTTTTCATAGCGTGATGGCGGAGTGGGTGGACGTAGTGCACTTGGCCTCACGCCCACTCTCTACAGAAACGCTTGCCAACGTGGAGAACACGTGCAATCCAGAGAAAATTCACCTAACACACGATGGTCAGCTATATCATATGTGCCATCAGTTTCATCCTTCTTGCTTCATATTCTTCTCTGCAAATTTACTCTTGCCCACCATGTTCATGGCAAGTCATGTCGAAACACCCCATTTCTCCCCTCACTTACTTTCACAGTTTCCAAATGGTAATGCTGCAAACCGTTCTTCAGGAACTACCTCATTAGTTTTAAGCACAATGTTGGCACTTGACTTGGTTTCACCAGGCCCACTGCTGTGAGTGTCCAGTAAATTCCTTCTAAGGCACCACTAAAAAAGTGTGATCGTTTCCCTTTCAGGGCAATTTTGCTTGCTGATGTTAGCACAAATTGTGGCACTCAAGCGGCTTAAGCAGATCATGGGCTCCTGCTTCTTTCACTCCACTCAGCCCTGCACGCAATGCTGCACAAACCTGCCTACACGCCGACTACAGGAAGACTTGCAAGATGGGAGCATGGAATTTACACGAGCACCACCTCATACCACCACGCTAACATCCGCACCACAATACAGGCAAGAGCCCTGCTTACGCAACTCTCTACACTTCCAGGTTTCAATCTTCGAGAGCAGTGGTAATCAGAAAAGTGCTGCTGCACTCTTTACTTAGCTAAATCAAAGTAGTCAGTCTCCAGACGCACCACATTCGTTGGCGGCAGATGCTCAGCTGCTCAGCTATAAGAAAGCATTGACTGGTCATTATACAACGCAGTTCATAAATAGAGCAAACATCCAGACAGAGTGATATTACGGAGACTCATCAGTTGCATTGACTCAAATGACCTATCGCATGCAAGAAACTCTAATGAGTGGCATTTCTTCTCCTCCCGTGACTCTGACGGCACAGACTACGTTGTGATGCGTGACGCAAAGAGGTGACAAGGGTGTGCGCCATGGACAGTGCTGAAGAGAAGAGAGATGCGTTGTTCAAGTGGGATGAGCGTTGTACCACTAGTGCATTCTAGTCCTCAAGTGTTGTCCTCCCGTCAAATCATCTGCACATCAATTAGCGGTGATTTCTTCCATAATACTCAGGCTCTCAAATTCAACACAACTCAGGACGATGCGGACAGTGCAACATTTTCATTGTTTGTTAAGCCCTGCGTTTGGTTTAATGGCCACTCGAGTCCCGCAGCTTGTATTCCCACTTGACACCGTGGTGGCTGGACCATGCTATGAGCACCTCAGTCTTTCTGACATCAGTATTATATTCTGGCCATTTTTACAGATTCGGGAAAGGGTAGTAATGCTTCAACAAACAATTTGTGATACTTTAAGCTGGGGACTTATAATGCTGAAGTGAAATAAAGTAAAAAGTGGAGTTCTCAGAAATATCAAGTTTTGTTATCATTTGGTGATTCACTTTATAGCTGTAAAGTAATAAATACAAGTGCATTTTGTTTAAGTTGACATTTTCTGGTTACATTATTTTTCAGGTTTGCATATTAGCACTGGTTGTGTTTAAGTTCTTGCCACAGGCGCCCAGTTGAAGTAAGCGATCAGTGCACCATCATACTACTGCCGGATTGAAATGGCGTGGAGCAGCGCCAACGAGAGCCTTGAGGAGTTCATTCAGGTGCTCGCTCGATATCATCAAGCATACGTAAGTCAGCAATCTTCAATGTCGATCCCCGTGGCTTAGGCAGATCCATTAGAAGATTTGTCTCACCTTCCTGCTAGACCATGTCAAATCCACTTAGCGCAGTCCATCGTCAAACGACGGGCATTTTGTCATTTGCAAGCACTCACTCACATTCTGTTAAGTCAATTCTCTTTCGCAAATCCTTTTGATTCTCTAACAGCAGAGGGATGATGTCAATGGAATGATTACTTTATAGCGCATTTTTATGAGGTTGTAAGTTATAGTGCTTATTTGGGGGGTAGATAGTGAGGGCAGAAGTGTAATTTTCCCTCAGATCAGTAAGAGTATTTTATAATATTAGTGTTTTTTGTTTTAGATGTCCGATACAAATTCCACTGTGAGAGTGATACCCCAGTCTAGGGAGAGACGCTTCACCAGCACTGTCTCAAGCACTTCAAGCTTGAAACGTCCACCAAAATTGGTACGTTGCCTTCAAATGCTCATTGCAAAGAGTGAGCAAATTCGTTTCTCTTACGATAGTCCAGAAAGAGTTCATCTGTACATTGAGGGACTCCTGTATGCTATATCAAGAAAAAAGCCTTTTCAACTGAATGGTCCATTTGCTGCTATTCCGTTTTCTTCCTCCTAAACTAATATTAGGCGAGATTAGTTTTGCTCATGAAGGAAAAGAGCATTAAAGACAAAATGCTGCGTTTTCTTTTTTATATCTGCTCCAATTAATTCCACTTTCTCATTTCCTACTTGCATTGCTTTTCGTCACTGGAATTCGGTCAATCCCTCAGACCAGGTTTGCTGCAAATTACGGCGACTCGGATGAGGATAGTAGCAACGATGACGAGGTACATTCAAATTGTCACTGTAATTTGGCCAATCAACTGCAGACTACTTCTTCTGATGACAGCCAGTCAACAGGTGCCATAAGTGGAGAGGAAGGCACACTTCCTCCATACCGCAAAAATAGAATGCTCAATCAGCTTCAGCGCAGGTTTTATGGTAACGACAACAGCCCAGATCGGACTAGTGGCAAGGAAAAGGTGAATTCGAGGCTTGTAAGGCTGTATTTATGTTTATCTAACTTAGGCTGACTTCAATTATAACGGCAATGAATTATGATTTATCATTGGCAGCAAATTTATTTGTTCTTACCACTTCAGGTGACTCTAAATGAAGCACTCCCCGGCTATTCCACCGGACTAGTAAGGACATTTTGCATTTTGAAATTTCTGCTATTTGATTTCCCATTGGGCTAAATTTGAAACAATTCCTCGTTTCCTTCCAGATGCCTGCTGTATACCAAACTACTGATACTTCGGATACATTTCACAAAGAGGTATGTTGTCTTTCGCTTGTAGGGTGAAGACTGCAATAACTCGTCCAATTTAGGGTAAATGTTCTTCTTGCTCTGCAAGATTGAAAGAGGCCCCAAAACCAGCTAGTGCTAGGGAGGTTTCCAATGCTGTCAATGCTATTTTTGACTATGCAAGTTTTCTCTGTTCCTTCGTTTATTTTTATATATCGCACCAAAATGCCTCAGTGTGAATGTAATCTTCCAAACTTTCAGGTCACAAATAATTCAAACGTGGATGATAGGGTACGTATGCAACCGTTGAAGTGGTGGATTTATGCATGGTTGGCCGATTTTCTCTACATTTTCTCCTGACTATCTGTTTTTGTAGAAGCTCGGTTCTCTGCTCACCTCAGAGAAGAGTAAGTGGGTGAAGTCAGTTCTTCAAGCAGTGAGTACTTTTTTGTTTAATTGCCACCTTGTTTTACCTCCCATACCCTTACACCTTTCCTTCCTTTATCCTCTTACTCCTGCCCCTCTTTCAAACCAGGTTGTGCCGATACCGACTTTGGTGGATAAAATTAGGGAGGCAATTGGACATGGATGATTTCGACCCACAAATGGAAAAGAGTGATTGTATTAACTGGCTCCTATTGACTCGGTGGTCCTTCTTAACCTCTGTCATTTAGAAAATCTGTACCAAGATTGGCTGTGTGTTTTGTTGAGTTCAGCTTTTGACGTTGTAGTGACGCGCAAGCACGCGTGTCCATTGAAGATGGTTAGGTTCAGAATAGAGCAAGTGGCGATTGAACAGTTGGCACTGCCAAACATGCCACAAATCTGTTTGCACGCTTAATTGCACACACTTTGCATCTTCCAGAAATTAAGGTAACGGGTGTTTAAGAAGGGAGTACTACTACTGAATCGTGTGAGAATGCAGCGTCGAAGCATCAAGGACGCCTCTCCTCACAATTGGCGAGGTCAGTCATTAAATCGCCACAAAGCCAAGAACCCGAATTTGGTAGTTTTTAAGCTTTTGTTTCATGTCAAGGGTTTTAAGACACTCCACCCTAATTTTTTCCATGATTTTCACGTTCCGCTTTGCATAGGTTTAAACGGGCTGATCTATTGCTTTGGTTGTTAAGCTTTCCCGAAAGTTTTTTTCCTACTGATAGGTAATGCTATCGCATCCTCCCTGTCCTCCCCAACCGTTGGACCGTTTGTGAAATTTCGGGATACATGGAGCCCAATTAGGCTTAGACTCTGCGGTAGTCGCCCATCGGCTGTAAACAACACGATATATCCTAAGCATCCAGTTGTGAATACAGAAGGTAGACACTTTCAAAGCTGGAGGAATATGACAGAGTCAATGCTTCGAAAGCAAGGCATTGTGGTGAGACACATCTAAAACTGCAGCAGTTTCTCGCCAAACAGTTGTGATTCCACAGCAAAGGCATTTTGCAGTGCCAATTTTTTGCGGTATTAACTTGGAGGATTTAAAGTGGAGAATGGTCCGGTAAAAGATTTTCACACTCGTGGCATTTGGTTGGGTGTAAAGTCGATAGACATGTTTTAGGACATGGGTGTTAGGCTTTGGTCATCCAAAATCATGACCTCAAAACAAGCAGCAGTCATGAGGTGACTCATCGGACCTGATTTTGAGCTGACCACCACCTGGAAAACAATCCAATTCAGCTTAGCTCATCCACCCAGTCATCCATTCACCTGGTCATCAATTTTCAGCATTAACCAACCTGCTTTCCTCAGTTTTCCCTTATCCCGTTGAGTGAGGAATAATCGTCGACAAAATCATGTTCTCTCTGTTGTCATCCTTTGGCAATAGATACAATTTACTTTTAGAGTACTATTTAGTAATTTACCCAACCACCTATTTGATTTGATGTCATCGATGGTTTTGCAGGGTCCAATTATAGGGCGAGGATTTTCCGAGTAGAAGTTTCTAAAACCAATCCTTAATTTGAAATCGCATTCAGAAACAATTTATGGCAGGGCAATTTATTGTCCAGAAATGGCTAACAATAAGTACCATCACGCTTTCTGTTTTGTCGAGAAACAGGCTGCAATGTGCATCTACACATCCGTCAACACACTCTATTTTTCACCACCTCTACGCCTCCCTCAAATGTTACCATCGGTTTAGTTGTTTTAAATAAATCCACCTCCATTCATAACACCCTCATTTACGCAATCGCCGATTCTCTACTCGTGTTAACGCGCGTTCAGCATTGGTAATGACAACAACTGCACCAACTAGTGTGCATACCAATTGGACGTGCATCCCTACTGCATTTCAACAATATGACCAACACCTTCGAAACTCCGACTCCTTACTGAATGCCAGAGAAACACCTCACAATTGATGCAATACACTTTCACAGAGGGAGGTGGCCTCACGGAAACACACATTGATTGACGTGTCAACTAAGAGTACATGAGCACCGTCCATAAGCGAGCACTCACAGCAGGCTCTTGAATGAGATGTCAATGGAGGTGAGTCTCTACAAAGAAAGGGGTGAGATGGTTTTTTGGCCATCCTTCTTTATGTTGAAAGGATCTTTAACACTTGCTTTTCCTTATTCTGCCTCATTCGCCAATATAAAGCTAGTATTGAGAGACAATCAGGCAAATCTAATCACTTCAGAGAAGGAAAGATAAATCTTTGGAGATCACGAAACTGGACGGGCTAAATTGGGCTGCTCTGAGTGTAGGGCTTGACACCTTTGCAGGTCCGCTTGCATGGAATGAAAAAACATTTGGGAATTAGTCCAAATTTCCATTCACATATAATGCGTGATTCACATAAAATTCAAGGCTTAGACGATTACTGGTGTGGAAAATAAGGTGTCACTAACGTGGTGGGGCAGTGCTACAGAGGCGGGTAGAATATGCCTTACATCTGGCCAGTGCAGTGTATGCCAGGTGGGTACGAGGGATGAATTCATGTTGTGTCTGTGGAACAGGCTGTTATCCATTTGACAATGCCCCCTTCTCCAAGTCTTAGAGTTATAAGGCCTGATTATTCTACTCTAATTGTTTGGTGAAGGATTTATCCAAGTATGCTAAATCTCTACTTCTACACATACAGAACCAGTTAATTTGTACTATACGAGGTTGGACAGAGCATGGCCACTGTCTGGTGATGCTCTATGCATGGTTGAAGTAAATGCTCTGCCTCAAGTACCTAGCTGCTTCTTGCACGAATGTTGGTTGAAGTGGCAATGAATAAAGAACAAACTGGGTCAATAATGGCAGCGAAGCGGACGAGAAAAGCGCATCTATCCAAATTACTGCAATAATAATGCATCATCTCCACTCCTGACAATTCGCTTTCCTCTCAAGCCTAGGCAAATTACGTTCAAGGTAACAAAACGCAAGTCTATATAAGAAGATGCTTCATAAGCATCATTCACTGATCAACGCGTTCACTAGCATATCACGGAGAACGAAAACCAGCGAGCAGTTGCAACATAGTTGTGGAGGAAATATGGAATTGAATATGGGTATGCAGTAGAAGCAAAGTACTCGTATTCCTAAAGTATGTTCCCCATCAGCCTTCCTCTCCTACTTTATGCTTGTTTTAATTAACCTCCTCCCTTCCCTTTTCTGCCATTCTGCAGTCTACCATCTCCTTTTAAATGGGGCCGACTTGAAAAGAACTGACCAAAATCGGAGCAGCAAAGCCAAATCTCTGGGAATGGCGAAAGCAATTGAATTGACTGGACTTACTCTTCATGCCAAACTTGTACTTTGTAGGGGCCGGTTTGCAAGCTCACCGAATATCTTATGCCTTCCAATTTCCCTGATTGTGGTCATGGGCACATCCCTAGTTATGTCACCATACTTAGTTCGTGTCAAGGCCTTCAGATGTCGCGTCTTATGTTTTGATAGATATGTGTTCTTCCCTATTAGATAAATTTAAAAGAACTGCTGCACATACTATACCTTTGCCAAATGAGTGAAGTAGGTACAGATCAGAGGGATCACATGCGAAATACCTAGAATGGTGTGAGAGAACAATTAGTTGATGACTGCGCATTCAAATGTCTTGGTATTTCCACTTTCATTCATGATAACTCATCAGTAGAGTTGAGAGTGGTTTGCTGGCCAGCGCAATTTAGACGAATTTGTTAGATCTATGGGTTTGTGTGGCGATCACTATGTGATTAAAGCGGTGTCGTGACATTAGACCCAATCAGTCTGTGCTTCTCATAACTTGATGAAACATCCCGACATTTGGCCAGCAGTGGCTGGAATCAAGTTGCCGCATTTGAGTGAATGTTCATCAAATTTGGGTGTGTTGTACTGACTCTCTACAAAGAAAGGAGCGAGATGTTTTTGATATCCTTCTTTACGTAAAATGGGTCTTCTTCACGCTCTCCTTCCTCTTCTGCCTCATTTGTTACCACTTTCTCCTTCTCTGTCAGGGCTAACATAAAGCTGGAATTGAGAGACACATGCAAAGATGACCACCCTCAGAGAAGAAAAGACGAATCTTCTGGGATCACGAAACTGGATGTGCTAAAATGTGCTGTCGTGAGTGTTGGACCTGATCTCTGTGCGGGTTGGCTTGCATGGGTGCCCAGCTCTGCATTTGGGTTTGTCGGGCCACGTATTGGCAAAGGAATTGATTGTAATTGCTGGGGTTTACACTCACCGGCGTTTCTCCCTTTCCTCTCATCTCCGCTCCTCGCCCCCTACTTTCACATCATCTTACCCATTTGATTTTACCATCCCCGCAGTCTAAGCGTATAAAGACTTGCATAAAAGAGGAAAATGCCAATTCTATGACACAACACCCCTTACTTTAGAGCTCAAACGGTTCAACACAGACAAAGAATTGACTTTAAGTGAGAGCATGTTGTCGAATTCTAGGTGAATTCCGCGATGTAATTTAATGCTCATGGTTTCGCCTTCACTTTAATACAGGTGTCAACAACTGGAAGCCGCATCCCCTTCTCCTCAAATGGCATGGCAGTTAAGTGAAGACCTTTCAAAACGCGGACTCCAATTAAACCTGTCTCCTAAAGCAGACGCTCATGGGGCGCTATCGACACGGTGAGCCATCCAGACATCTCGAGGTCGAAGGAAAGGTGGTGAGGAGCACAGAGAAGTACACACTAGCGTACTGAAGGATTAATGAATGTCCCTCAGTGCCTTCTAATGCATGCATTTGACGGAGACCCACCTCTACTAGCAAGGCTTTTCAGTGAGTTACATTGAAAAATGTACAAACTTTCTTTTTAAGTAAATTAGGCCTTAAAGAGAGGGCGTTTAACATCGGCTATTTCATTCATCTCTATGAACATTTTAGACCGTTTGGAACAGGCTTGGCTCAGCTAAATTTCACCGCACACGTGACATCCAGCTAGGTGAGCAAGCGACAGCCAGATATTTGTTTGGCAACGTTATGCTTTAGTTACCTAAGCTCATAACCGCAATACCAGCAGAGGTGCAGAGATAAATCGTCGAACCCGACTGTTAGGCTGACCGCCTACAGGACAGGACAGCCATCTGTCTTGTGCTCATTCACCCAAAGCTGACCTCCTCACCCATTCAAACGTCAAGCCATCCATCCACCTGGTCGTC